CGCAAATCCAGTTCGTGTACGTAACAGGTCCGCAATATTCGTATTATGCGCCTTTTGCTGGACTTAGTAAACTGTTCCGTTTTTGAGCTATTAAAGTTACTCAAGTATACGGTGCAACAACGACGAAAACTATAGACAAACACGGACGCATGTTGTTATTTACCTCTTTACTTCCCATCCTTAACTCTGGCACTTTGACCTTGACTCTCTATCTAGCTCATGTCTCTCACTACCTGTTTGCCAGATAGCGATGTCTACACCTTCATATTGACCCCAAACTCTTACTACATGGTTGTGATAACTGTAGTCGGCCGCCTTCGGAGTGAGTGTTTTACCTTCCATCTCCACAAGTGTAGTACGATCTTATTTATGCAATGAACGCAAGGGGACTCAGAATCCTCAGCCGGACGCATACTACATATATGGCGATTCTGTCAGTTTCGCTTTTATTGAAATATGTTGCGGTTTTTCTTTCCTTCACATCCGTAAGTTTACAGCGGATTCAAATTCAGTTATTTCCAGCACCTAAGATCTTAAAATCAGGCTGGATAGGCTTTCTCTTTAGGACGGACCGTTACTGTGATGTTGTGCTTGTTCAGCTCAGTGATAGGTTGTGGTCAAATCAGTATGGAGACATTGCCCCGCCGCGTCCTTCCCTAGAAATACCACCTGCATGACAATTACGATCAATGAGAGCGAGATACACGTTGCTTCCTGCTCCGCCTCTCTGAAGAAGAGAGGGCAGCTTTGCATTTGCGCTGTTAATTTTCAGATGCGTACAAATCCGTGGACTCATTCGGTATCGTTGGAGAGTGTTAATGCAGCGACTTATACACAATCTATAGCCCTCCTAGAACCACAGTTACGCGAGCTAGAATATGATAGGCAAATTCATCAGCTTCGGCAACCGGGTGCTGGGCTTCTGGTGTCTTTCAACTCTGTATTACTGGGACTTGCAATTGCCGTGTTCCCGAGCAACGATCCGGCCGCTAAAGAGACCAAAATATTTCAGCAAGTCTTGGAAGCTACGGTAGACCCCGGAGTGAACAGGGAATACCTGCTAAAGCCACCTGCTGAGTTGGACAAAGCACAGCAGATTGCTGCTCAACGTGAGCATATCCGCGGAAATGCAACCGGAAATACCCGCCTCAAGAACCGAACTACGTGCAGCTTCTATTGGCGGCTGATGACCGTACAAACCGAGGTTGGGATATGTGTCAACAATCCACAAACGGCCATTCGGTCCGACTAATAGTTCAGGAAGGCCAGATACCCATTCGCTTTGGGGCGCCCGACAAATTTTCACATACTTTAGAAGGTTTGGGAAGATACCGCATACGCCTGCGGAAACAGTCAACGTAGAGAATACCAAGTGGGCTCGTATATGGTTACTGCCTTTTCTGCTGTTCACCCTGCAGCTTCTACTGTACTGTTTGCTTTTACTTTGGTTGCTCAAGCTGAAAGGTTATAAGATACTGACACGACTTGTTTATTAGTCCATGAGAGGATAGTCCAAATAGACGCAGTGATCTAACAAGATAACGCGGTCAGCCATATGGCAGCCAATGGGACCCCATAAAATCAGTCGGCTAAACAAAGACCACGATCAGGTTAGCGAGCAGTTTAGCCACTCACTGTTAGTTCATAGTAGAGTACCTTTCTTAGGATATGGTACTGAGAGTAAACCTTTTTTCTCACTTTCATGCTAAGACTGATTTATCCAGACAAACCAGTGAGATTAACGTGCAGTTGTTTTCGTTAGGTTTATCTGTCTATCCGAGGTTGTCCTGCGCGGTGAAAGAGAAACTTTAACGAACGTTTTTCCATAGCTACCTTACGGAAGCTCTGAATCTGGCCCACAATAATTTAGAAAACAGCTTAGACGAACATGCATATGGCCCGAGGATGATCTAGCTGGGTGTAATTTGGATCAACACCGCATCGACGCCGGCAACGCATCTCCAATCCTCCAATCAGCAAGACGTATGCAGGTTCATGTACAGAATGTACTGAGGTGCATTGCCGAATACATGTCGAAACGCGATATCATCCGGCCGCCAAATTAACCCTGGGCACTCCCCACCGTCATAGTGAAAAAACGGAGAATTGCGTCTCCACGTCGACTATCCCAAGTTGAACGCAGCCACACTTACAGACTCGTTTTCATTACCAAGAATGATGATACCGTGGAGTCTGTCTTCTGGTCCCCCTGGTTCACCGCCCTGAACCTAGCTTCGGGCTGCTGGCAGATCGAGATGCATCCAACCGACCAACGCAACTCTGCATTTATCACCCCACCTGCGTGGTACGAACTCCAGATCATGCCTTTTGAACTAACTAACGCAACGGTCACCTTTCAGCGTTCGGTACATACCGTGCAGTCTAACAGTATACCGCAACGCTGTCTAGTATACCTGGACGATGTTGTCGATTATGATGGAACGGAAGAGGAGCACAATAAATCCGCACTCTCGTTTAGGATCAGCCTATGCAACTGGGGCTAAAACCGAAGCCCACCAAGTGCCAATGCCAGTATAAGCAGTTTGCTTTCCTAAGTTACATGATCTCTAAAGAATGTGTCCGTTACGACCCGGCGAATCTCGAACGCATTCACCCGTGACCCATCTCTGAAAACACAGACGAATTGCGCAGCCTCCTCGGTCTCTTCTCATACAACCGGCGTTTCGTGCGCGGTTTCCCGACCGTCACTGCACCTCTGAATGGGCTTTTGACAGCAAACAAACTTTTTACCAGGGAAGCCATTCCCTCGCACTCGTTCAAGAATCTGCGAACCTCTTTATGTGACACCGAAGTGTTGAAATCCTCGGGTAACTGTAACTTAGAAGCGGATGGTAGCGAAACTGGCATTAGTGCCATTCTGTCCCAACACACACCGGCAGAAACGGAATTTCTCACAGCTTGTGTTAGTAAAAGTCTCACGCGGCGAGAGCAAAATTACTACGCAACGCGAAATGTATCTCTAGATCCTGTCTATACTAGTAAGCAGTTCTGACACTATCTGTTACACCACATGTTCATCATAGGAATCAAGCATCAGGCATTAATTTCATTGTAGAACTTCCTTGATTCCGAAGAGCAGACCGCGGACTAACCACACCAACTACAAGAATCCCACTTCAAATGTCAGCGCCCACCTGGCTTAAAACATGCAAAGGCTGGCGCGATTTTGCGTAAAGCCATTAGAACTCGTGGACCGTGTCCGTCATGCACGACGGAATGCAGATTCCCTGTCATTCCCTATGCCCCAGAGCAGGAGGAATTGGCTCGAATGCAGCCAACGGAGCCTGAGTTTAGTTTGCTATACAGTCCCATCTCACGAGGCGCAGACAAACCTACAAGTCAAGAGCCTGCCGGCGCAAGTTAGGAAACCAAATGTCTTAGACACCACTGGCCTCCATTAAGCGTAGCTGATAGCATTACGTACTGCCAAGAGGGGCCTGTGTTTCTGCGGAAGAGAATCATTTCCACGGCGAAAACCAAGGAAACAAGGCGTAGGGCTCATAAGAAAAAGCGCATGCTTGTCAAACTAAGATAAAAGACGTAATTCGTCGTCGGTTTTTGTGGCCGCACTTGAGACTAGATACTGCTATCTACTACCAGTCAGGTGCCCATTGTGCACGAAACAAAAACTTCTCATTGACTCGCCGTGGGCCGCTGCTGCCAATGACAGCCGGGTTTCCAGACGAGCTGGTAGACAGCGTCAACATTTGTTCCGTACCAGAGACGGCCAAGGGAAGTTGTTACGTTTTGTTGATGATGGACTACTTCACGAGGTTGTGTGAAGCGGTCCTCCTGGAAAATACAAACGTATGGAGCGCAGCAAAAGCTATCTTCAACGCAAGAGTGGCAAGGTGGGGTTCACGCTACCAGTTGCGGTCCGACGGCGGAGCCAATTAGGAAAGCACACTCATGAGTGAATCGTGCCACATATTCAGCAACCAGAAAACACGGATGACAGCATATCACCCAGAAGAGAATGGACAGGTTGAAAACACTAAGCGTTAACAGTAAGCGTTTCTGAACTCCTTCTTGAACATTGAGACAGCCAGGGCGTGGCATATATCTTTATGTCGGTGCTTATTGACCAATTGCGCAATGGTGCATTGCTCGACGTGCCGAACACCTCATTTAATGACGCGAGCTCCGCTTTCGCTCTGACACCCTGCCGCCGACCGTTCACCAGAAGCCCATGTTTGAGTCTGGCCGCATACACTGAATGCAATCCAATCTGATGAGCGCACACCAATTGGCATAGGCGCATGTGGAAACCTCCCGGCCCTCTCAAAGTTGTATTTCGATCGCAGGGCCTTCAGCAGTCCGTGTAACCCTGGTGGCATTGTTTAGTTTAAGGCATTAATCACATCGGCAGGCGTCCTTGCAAAATTCCATCATCACTTGGAAAGCTCGTCCGTCGTTGTGAACATACCAACTGGCATAAAGCAACAGGATTATCGACTGTTGTGCGCTTCAACTGGCTGAAGCCGGCCAAGAGTATCAGTGGCCTAGAGGACAGCGGGTGTTATGCAGGGCTATTGTAACTGGTCCGCAACTGTTTGTACAACGCGCCGTTCGAAAGACGTAAGAAACTCCGCCGTTTTTGAGCTCTTAAAGGTACTCAAGTACATGGAGCAACAACGATGTCAACCAAAGACGAACACGTACACGTTTTATTATTTATCTCTTTGATTCCCATTCTTAACGCTGGCACTTTGAAATCGTTTATCCATCTAGCTGTTGTCTCTCGCTACCTGCTTGCCAGATGGCGACATTTACCTCTTCATATGGACTCCAAACTCTTATTGGTTGATGACTTTAGTCAGCCGCCTACGGAGTGATTGTTTAATCTTCTAGCTCCACAGTTCAAGTACGATCTTATTTACGCCGTGAACGCAGGTGAACCCGGAATCCTTGTCCGACAAGCAATATTTACACCATCGCCTGCACACAAGAAATTGCCAGAATCTTGTTACTGCTAGGACAGTCACTAAACTTTCGGGTCTATTTGCCTCATGAGTAAAGTTGCGTAGTCATCACATTTGTCCTCAGTAAAGTCCAAAGTTTCATACAGCCATTTTCCTTTATGAACTTTAAAAGTGCAAGAAGGAAAAACATTTCAGCTGGCGAGTTATCCTGCATTCCGCAGATTTTGCGTATTCATTCAACCGTATAGAGACTTACAGTGAAAACTTTAAATGAGCGGAAGTGAAATGGAAGCAATACCAAGAAGCGATAAGCTGCTAAATTGGCAGCGTCTCTACAGAAAAAGTACCATCCCACCGAAGAGCATGGTTGGCCACAAATTCCAGTTGCTTGCATAGGCTAGGATTCAACGCCGGATGGCGGCAGCCTCAGAGAACCCTAGCAGGTTAGGATTAATTTGCCTGCTAAGAACTTTGAATGCTTCGCTGAAGTTTTTACACATGGTACATTCAAACAAGTGCCTAGTAATTGAGCAAGGAAATAGTTTCTTACCAGTCAAGGCCAGAGTACGCGACATTTGTTGTGAAATCCGTGTTGACAGTTTGCTCTCAGTTCGGCCGATTTACATGTTATCGCATGCTAATAGATGAGAATAATAAGCAGTATTGTCAGCGGCATGTTCCCGCGAGGAAGACAAAGCCAGTTGACGTTTTTAAGTAGATCTTCATTACATTACCGTTCAAGAGGCACAGCGTGATAAAAGGCTCCGGCATCGCTTATGCCAGTACATAAACAGGTGCCAACCTGCAGCCGAGCTCGTGATGCTGCACAAATCCAACCTAGACAGACTTCACTCTCAACTTACCGCCTCTTGCGTCTACCAGTTTAATTGTACATTCGGTAGCACGTAACTCGGCCGAACTGTGAGCAAACTGTCAACACGGATTTTACAACAAATGTCGCGTACTCTGGCCTTGACTGGTAGGAAACTATTTCCTTGCTCAATTACTAGGCACTTGTTTGACTGTACAATGTGTAAAAACTTCAGCGAAGCATTCAAAGTTCTTAGCAGGCAAATTAATCCCAATCTGCTAGGGTTCGCTGACGCTGCTGCCATCTGGCGTCTAAATCCTAGCCTATGCAAGCAACTGGAACTTGTGGCTAACCATGCTCTTCCGTGGGATGGTAATTTTCCAGTAGAGACGCTGCCAATTTAGCAGCTTATTGCTTCTTGGTATTGCTTCCTTTTCAGTTCTGCTCCTTGAAAGTTTTCACTGTAATTATCTATACGGTTGAATGAATACGTGAAAT